TTTCAACTTCACATTAAAGAAGAACACTTGTTATTTTAGTAAGTGCAGTAAACTTGATAAAATCCAATATTCGTTCTTGATAAAAACTGTTAACAAACTAGGAAATAGAAGGGGGGAACTTCCTGAGTTTGAAAAATATCTACAAGAAATCTGTAGTAAATATATTTAGTAGTGATACATTGAATACTTATTTGAAATCAGGGACAAGTTAGTCCCGCTTCAATAATTTACTAGAAATTCTAGACAGCACAGGAAAACAGGAAAAATAAAAGATACTAGGATTGAGAGGAAACAAAACTTATTTTGCACAGATACGATTACACAAATACAAAATCCATAAGAATCTATAAATAAATGTTTAGAATTAATAAAAGGTAGGCAAAGTTGTTGGATGTAAAGTCAGTATAAAAATTGTGTGTGTGTGTGTGTGTGTGTGTAAAAACAGTAAAATTTAGAAAAAGATGCCATGACATGAAAAAACATTAAGTACTTAAGAAGAATCTAGCAAGTGTTATACAAGACCTCTCTGACATTTTTAAAACTTTTTTGAGGGATCTTAAAGTAGCCCTTAAAGTGAAGCAATGAGCTATCACTGGATTAGAGGATACAGTTCCAATGTAATTGCAATAAAAATCCCAAGTATTGTTTATAGAACTTCTTAAGAGCAAAAAAGAGGTAAGATATTCTTGAACAACAACAAAAATGATGTTCCCCTTCAGCTATCAGAGTGTAAAAAGTGAGTCTGTATCTTAGTGCTGTAGTTATCTTGACCAGTGCTACAGAATTTGAGAAACAGACCCAAGAATGTATGGACTTTAACATACCACAGAGGAGGCATTGCACATCAGTAGTATGAAGATAGACTTTTCAGTAAAGGTGGCTGGACAATTGGGTGTCCCTATGGGAAAAAAAATTTCCCAGATTACCACTATTCTACACACAAGTCAACTCCAGACTTATTAAAAACCTAGATGTGAAAAGCAAAACTAAAAAGTCTTTTGAATATAATATGAGAGTGTGTCTCTGCGGCCCCAATGTAGAAGAACTTTTTAAACAGGCAATAAAAAATACTAACTAAAGGAAAGATTCATATATTCAACTTCACTGAAGTGAAGTAACTTTTTTTAATCAAAAGATACCATAAGGATAATGACAAGACAAACTACAAATTGGAAAAACATTTGCAAAGACATTGCACAGTATTGAATATTCAGAATACATAGAGAACTGAAGCAGGGGGGAAATTGTGTGAAAGATTTAAGTACTGTACGAAGGAGAAATCTAAATGGCCGATCAATAAGTATATTCAGCATTGTTAGTAATTGGAAATAAAAATTAAAATCTGAGATATAGTTACACCGTAAGATGGGCAAAAATAGAAACATCTGATGCACAAAGCCTTGCTACTGTGGAATGGAGGCTTACTTGCTTCTGTGTGAGTGTGAGTTGGTACAAGCCAGTTGGAAAAAGTTTGGCATTAATTAATGAAGTTGTGCCCTGTGACACAACAATGAGACTCCTAGCTATAGACCTTACATCAGACATTCAACAAAAGTATTCATAGGACCATCATTGGTAATAGTAAAAGCCAGAAACGTTTATCAACAGGACCATGAATGGCTTGTGGTGGACAAGCCCAGTCGCTCTTGAAGCTGACTCTTAACAACGTTGACTGAGAGAAGCAAAAGACAAAAGAATGCATGATTCCATTTATATAAACTTCATAAACAGGAGAAACTGTAATAGGTAGTCAATCTGCAGAACAAATGCCTTTATCTTTTAAGAAAACGTGTCATAGCTTTTGAAATACTAGCATGCAAACATAAAGTCCTCAAAGTAATTGTCATAAATCCTAAGTAATACAAATTTCTATTACCATGTAATCAGCTGCAACGTCTTATTACTACCATTCTGAGTAATAGTCAAAGCAAGGTAAAAACACATTTAAAAAAATATGTATCTATTACTTTCTAGGGTTTCCAACATTCTAACATTTTCCTTTTTTTTTTTTTTTAAAGAAAGGGTGGTTTTTTTGTCGATCTCTTTGTAAGAGTATCTAACCAAGTTGCAGTCAACATGTACAAGCAATTGGGCTACAGTGTATACAGGACAGTCATAGAGTACTATTCAGCCAGCAACGGGGAGCCTGATGAGGACGCTTATGGTAAGCTCCCTTCCATGGCACTATCCTCAAGAAGTCCGTCAAAATGGTTACATTCATTCTACAGATTGTAGTATTTGGTTATTTTAATAAATATAGAAGAATCATACTTGACTTTAATATTTAAATCTCCCTCAACCTACCTTTATGAACCTATTAGTAGTAGTAATTAACTTACCTACTAACTAACCAATGGTTAATTTCTATACATTACTGTTCTACTATGTTATGGACACGCTATTTTACTAACAAGAAAGAACATGTATTGTGAGCTGAATCCTGGGTGGGGTTTGGTTAGCATCTGGTATACTTGGCAATTGGGAGACTCATTTATAAATACATTTTGCTTAGAATCTGATGGAAGTAGGGGTAGAAGATAAGCCTCTTATGGGAACTTCACCTATACGCTTTAAATTTGATATAATACATTTGGGTGTTTATATTAAACTTTGCTTCTTTACAGATATGAGGAAAGCACTTTCCAGGGACACAGAGAAGAAATCCATCATACCATTACCTCATCCTGTGAGGCCTGAAGACATTGAATAACCCTGGGCAGTGGTTCTTAGGCAGATACTCTAGATGCTTTATGGACAATATTATTTTCATTGGATGATTCTGGAGCTCTATTAGGAGAAAATCATTTTAGGTCTCAACGATTCAAGAAAATACAGGTTATCAGTTTATTTTAAATGTCGTTTTCAGTTAGCAATATCATACCTATGAAAGCTGTTCACTAACAAAATTCAGTTGAAAAGGCAGCTAGGTCAGAAGGAAACATAACCACTGTTATGGTTCATAATAGTCACTATGTGTATGCTAGGGAAAAGACTTGCTCCTTTCTCCTCCTAAATGCTGTGCCTGAGAACCACTGCTGCATATTGTTTTTAAATTTTGTATTGAACTGTTAATTGAAGCTTTAAAAGCATATATGAAATGTATAAATCTAAGATTATAATAAAACACATTGTTGACTGTATGAATGTTTTCTGGAATTTTGTTAGTCATTTGTAAAACTGAATCAGGTTGTAATCCCAGTACTTTGGGAGGCAAAGGTGGGCCGATTGCTTGAGGTCAGGAGTTCGAGATCAGCCTGGCCAAAACCTATAATAAAAATACCATCTATACTAAAAAATACAGAAATTAGCCAGGCATCCCAGCTACAAAGAAGCTGACGCACAAGCACTGCTTGAACCCTGGAGGTGGAGGTTGCAGTGAGCTGCAGACCATGCCACTGCACTCCAGTCTGGGCAACAAGAGTGAGACCCAGCCTCAAAAAAAAAAACAAAAACCTAAATCAGGATTGTGAAAGGTCATCATTTAGGATATGTTGTTTAATTAAATTGTGACTTCCATATGTAGTATTTAAAAAATGTACATTTGAAGTATTCACTGCCCAGCATACTTAAGAGTTCCCTTCTTATCGTTTAGTAAATTCTTCCCAGTCACCTGCGTTAATACTGTTAGTCCTAGAGCTTTTCTCCTCTTCACAATGCTTTGCTTAAATCCTGCCCTTCTAAAAAAAGAAAAGAAAAGAAAAAGCTGTTGAGGTTGTTTTATTTTTAGGGAGGAAAAAGAATTCCTTATCTATCTATAGCGTCATCCTCTGTAATATGTGAAAATATCCAGTTAGTGAAAGACTTAAGAAAAACCCACAAGAAATTATTAAAGTTTTACTATTGAAAGGATTTATTTTGGTGGAGTTGAGTGTGGGAGATAAATGAATCTTTAATGAATCTTTATGTTCTCCTATTAGAGAATAGCTTTTTCCTTCAAACTTTCACACTGGCACATGCTTGTTATAACTTACCTTAGGAACATAACAATTATTTTCGTATGCATACATGCAACATAAATGGATAATTCTAGAAGACTGTGATTAAGTGACTTGCATTCTGACCTGTTTTCATCCCACTCCCTGACTTGTGGATGAGCCAAAGGCTTATTATTAAGATGATGTTCTCCTGCTCACTCATTAGACAGACCTGTACTTGAGATGTGATCTGACACCGCAGCAGCTGATGCTGGCTGGTCCGGGGACTAAAGCAGTCAGGCTGAAAACAGAACTGCCTTTTATCTTAACAGCCCTATTTTCTTCTGTCCTCTTAACACTGTATGCTATTTTCAAGATAAAATTTTAGTAACATTATGAAGTAGCTTTTATTCCCTTGGGTGAATAAGACATTTGCATATTTAATAATAAATTTGCTTACTAAAGGTCCTTTTAGGGGAAAACAGTCTTAAAAATATAGTTCTAGTCCTTGAGCAGTGAACAAAGAAAAGATGTGCTTCAGAAACACAGTCCAAGCTAAAGGAAATAAACTCTCAGATCAGTTAATGCACTCAAATGTTTTTAGCTTGAGAATGTGAGCAACACATCAGCAAATATACTCATGCTTGTGCTACTTTTCATTACTTAGCATAGAGTTACCTTAGGTGTTTCTACCCATGCTCTAAACCAAGAGTAAGTTTAACAATGTCAGCAATGTTAAGTAGACACTTTTTTTTTGAGGTGGAGTCTCGCCCAGGCTGGAATGCAGTGGCACGATCTCGGCTCACTGCTACCTCTGCCTCCCACATTTAAGTGATTCTCCTGCCTCAGCCTCCCAAGTAGCTGGGACTACAGGCACCTGCCACCATGCCCGGCTCACTTTTTATGTTTTTAGTAGAGAAAGGGTTTCACCCTGTCAAGTCAGATGGTCTTGATCTCCTAACCTCGTGATCCGCCCGCCGTGGCCTCCCGACATTTTCTACTATAGCACACTCGGAGATGTTTACTGGTAATCTAGGTAGAAATAACTCCACTGTCCACTAAGTTTGGGAAAGAATACAGCAACACTGCTACTGGAGATACATAATGTACAGAAGCCTAACTATAAAGGGATTTGACTAATGAGACTTAAGTCTTAGTCCAGAGTTTCCCAAATTTATGTGAACATGGGACATCATTTTTTGTAGCACACATGTAAACAAGCCATTATTCTTTAAACAAGCTATTACGAAGCTCTACCACTCTGGAGAACTGATGAGTGCCTAACTGAAATTAGACTAAATTATTCTTGGTAAACAATGTTTTCTGAACCTTGTTCAGAAATATAATCACTGCAAATTATTTTCCAAGTAATGTTCTAAAAAGCACTTAATATAACTGGCCACTAGTAGAAGACACGGTAAATTAATCCATTCACATTCAATTCTACAAGGAATGTAACTATTTTTAAAAGTGGCTTAGAACGTAGCCGGGAGTGGTGGCTCACGCCTGTAATCCAAGCACTTTGGAGGCCAAGGCAGGCGGATCACCTGAGGTCGGGAGTTCAAGACCAGCCTGACCAACATGGTAAAACCCTGGCTTTAAAAAAAATAATAAAAAATAAAAAGTGGCTTAGAACAAACATTTTACTGAGCACTTACTATGCACCAGGTATATTCCTCTTATAATATAATCTTCAGAATGAGTTGCCGTAAGTATTGGCCCATTTTATGAGGAAAATGAAAATTAAGTTACATAATCACGAATGGCAGGGCTGGGAAATGAACTCAAGTCTGTGACTCTGAAGACATGACGAAGTTACACATTTCAGATGAATGCATAAACTATGGTTATGATACGAAAAGTTATTATAGAATGTAACCGAAAAGCTAAAAAAAAAAAAAAAAGGGCTCAAAAGTCTGCGAGTTCACCCAAAATAGATGCTAAACGTTATCTTAATTACATTTCCTAATGCATGATGTGTACAGATGTTAGAAAAGTTTGATCTCAGTTGGAAAAAGAAATCCAGCAGTTAAAAAAGTCCTTTACTTGCAATCCCCACCACTAGATAACCCAAGGGCATTTAAAAAAATAATTTTAAAAAGTAGCTATCAAAGATACCAATCAATTTCTTACTGGTGAAATATATAAGAACTTCCGGGAGTCACAAAAGTTCCAAACAATTAATTTATAAAAATAACAAAACATTTGTCAATATGAAAAAGATCAGGATTCACTCTCATCGACATCCTCATCTGGACTGTGCTCAGCATCCTCCTTTTCCTGCTGCTGTTTCTTCCATAGTTTGGCCATGGCCAGGAGTTTGAGGTTAGGTTGGTTGGCAGCATCTTCTGGAAAGATGTAATCAAAGTATTCTTCCCAGCCTGCATCGGACTATAGAAATAAAACGATTAAAAGATAAGCAAACATGTGGCTGATATACTCACATATCAGAGTGAAGAATCTTTATTAGAAACCCCAAGTTCAACTTACCTCCATTTTACAAAACAACATCGAAGTCTACTATGGAAAGAACAAGGGCTGGGTCTGAAAGACTGGGAGTGAGTAAGCAGCGACTGCAGCTCAGTGAGAACTGAAGAACTGGTAGAAAAAATTCTAAAACTCTAAGCACAGCTCCTCTATAGCCAACCAAGGTGTTGAGTGTCTCCAACTCCATTGTGCAGTCTTACATTTAAGGAAATGTTCGACCATTTTTATAACATTCTTCCAGTAGAAAAGCCATACGTCTGTGCATTATTATTCCAACTCCCTACCGTCCTGTCCTCACCTCCTATCAGTCACTGATCTCACTTTCCAAATACTGTTCTAACAGGCCCTGTTCTAGTTCCACCTTCCATGTCTTATTCGGCTTATAAAAACTGCCTCCTGATGGGTCTTCTTTTTCCAATCTAAGCCCCTTAAGTCTGCCAGTAGGAGATGCCAGCAATCTGGTCACGCCATTTTATGCAAAACAGCCTTCACTGACTCCTAACAAACCCCTTCTTATCACCTTCAAGCCTTCTCTGGATTAGCTCCTATCTGAAAATTCAGAGCCAGCTTCCTCCATGCTGACTTCCTATTTAATGCTCTAAAAATATCACACTTCATGTAGTTCCCAGACTCAACCATCACCAAAACACCTTTGCCAACCCCTTCCCATCGTCCACTTCTGACTGGACCATAGGCTCTACCCTGTGTTTCCACAACAGCCAGACTGCAACCATCTCCTACTCCAGGTGGTGTGCTTCCATTTTAACAATGTACTTATGCCACTTAAAAGTACAAATTTCAAAGTCAGATGTGTTTCTACTCATGTGATGTGAAAGGAACACTCCCAGGGCAGAGTTCTTACCCCATCGTCAGCCTGGACCTTTCTTCTCTTCTTGACTTTCTCTGGCATGAGTTTGTCTACTCTCTCCTTATCTGATGCTGTTCCAAATTCTTCTTCAAAGCTTCGCCAAGATTCCAGCAGCATAAGCCTCTCTTCCTTTTCTTCACAGTTTCGCATGCTTTTGTTGGCTTCTTCATAAATTTGTCTGCATTTAGCCAAACTTCCTTCTTTTCCTGAAGACAACTCAAACTGAGCAAAGCTGATCCATACCTTTAAAAAAAGGTATTATTGAACCAAATTAACCATGTCACTCAGAAGACAATAATGTAATAATAATAATAAAGTGAATTCCCAGTTAATGACATCTGAAAGTAATGCGTTCATCACTAGTGTTTCACAGATCAAAACAATGAATATATGCTTACATATAAACACTGAAGCAATTTATTTCTACATTCTACAATTAAATGTCTGACACAGTCTTAAAATTGTAAAAAGAGTTCAACTTTTTTTTCAATCTTGTGATACCCAAGCTATTCACATGCAGATTAAACAATGACCTGGTATAAACTCAACATTTCAAACATTCCCAAGTCCTCTGAGACTCACGTTTCTCTTAAAAAGCAAGGAAGTCATTAAACAAAAGAAAAAAAAACCCAAACACTTAAAATACAAGAAATACAGTATTTTCTTCAGGACAGATTCAAACAAAATGAAAGATCATCTACAAAGGAAGAATACCTTGACATGCTGCGTCCGTTGAAGCAACCGTCGGTAAAGGTTTCGTGTTCTTTCCGTTTCTTCCTGCTCAATTTCAAAATCAATATATGATTTCCAAAGCACCTAAGAAAGACAAGTTAATTGGTCGGTCTTGACATTTACAAAGCAGCATGCCACCATCTAAAGCACAGCTTAGGTATCACTCTAATCTACATCTAGAAACAAGGGATTTTTACTGAACAACTAAAGAACACAAGTGGGTAAGATAAATAACACTGGTAAGCTGGCCAAAACTTGGCTAGAATTCCAGGTTACAGAAAAAGGGCATTGGATTCAGTCTTAGAGATTCTCGAAGTTTTTCAAATGCTTATCAAGAGCTAAGAAATTTGCCAGGCATCTCCCAGGTACTCTGTCATATTCCAGCCATGTGCAATTGAGCTTCCAGAGAGAAGACAGGCCCAGGTTTAGCCAGTGGGCACCTGTTCAGTGAATGCTTGTTGAGTTGACTCTGAACAGGTACCCACTGGCTCAATGCAGCCTGGCAGGGCATAAGGATGAATAAACTGTGGCCTGGACACTTGAGAGTTGGCATTCTGGGTAGAGGAGCCAAGGACAACTGACGAAATCAGTGATACACAAAGCCCTGACTTAATGTAGTCAGGGGGCCAAAACATTAAATGCAGGGTCATGTTAGTGCATGAGATCAACAAAAAATGGCTGGGTGAGTTCTACAGCTCCTGTGAGATTAACATTGGTCCTGGCTGTGGTTTGGTGTTATCTTGTGGGTCAAGCTTAACTACTGAAGGCAGGAGAGCACTTTCAGGACAGTGACAACAGTAGTTGCAAGGATATCGCGGTTTAGAGAATACAGGGATGTACAGTTCCCACCTCCACCCTCCTTGTTCTCTGAGTGGGCCAGCCTGCTGGCTACTTCTTTGCCTGGCCTCTTCCCCAGCCCCTTTAGGCTTCCCTGTTGGAGAAGGGGAGTCACCCAACCCCATGATATCCCAAGTCATCCTCGTCATCATCGTAGATGTCTACTGTGCTCTGGTATCTAACTAGAGGGTTACTTCCCCTGTCCCCCGCATCCTGCCTTTCCACCTACAAGCCTAATCTGAGTAGAAAAGACTAGTTAGTTAGATCATCTTTATACTCTAAAATACACCTATATTTAGACGGTCACCTAAAGTAAGATTAAACAAGTATCTCAAACCAAATTATATTTGACTTGAGAGCTCACCTCTGGCATGTCTAAACGTGGCTGACTGATGGCTAATTCATAGATTGCCCGTGCTCTGTCAATATCACCAAGGATTGTCTCTAATTCAGCAAATTTAATCCATGAGGTACAATTTTCAGGTCCAAATTCCAGGAACTTTTCATAAAGCTTCCGGCATCTGTCAAATTCTCGAAGCTGTAGCTCCAATTCTATGTAAACTTTAAATAATTTGTTCTTTGGACATTTGCCTATGGAAGTTCCCTGGAAAATAAAATAACCAGACCACTGTGATACTGTAGTGGATTCAATTTGTGCACAGTTATTGCACTGCCCTGAAGCCTGTTCTCTGCTGAGGAAGATTCTTTTTTTTTTTTTTTAATTGCATTTAAGGTTTTGGGGTACATGTGAAGAACATGCAAGACTGTTGCATAGGTACACATGTGGCAGCGTGATTTGCTGCCTTCCTCCCCATCACCTATATCTGGCATTTCTCCCCATGCTATCTCTCCCCAACTCCCCATCCCCCACTGTCCCTTCCCTAGTTCCCCCCAACAGACCCCAGTGTGTGATGCTCCCCTCCCTGTGTCCATGTGTTCTCATTGTTCAACACCCACCTATGAGTGAGAACATGAGGTGTTTGATTTTCTGTTCTTGTGTCAGTTTGCTGAGAATGATGGTTTCCAGGTTCATCCATGTCCCTACAAAGGACACGAACTCATCGTTTTTGATGGCTGCATAATATTCCATGGTGCATATGTGCCACATTTTCCCTGTCCAGTCTATC